AAAGCCAGAGACCTGTAATCCCACTCCCAATAATGCTTTCTGAAGATGTGAAACTACAGACCATTCTAAGTTTTACTGCAGCATAGTATTCCGCAAGTACTTCACTAAACCCTGCCACTCAAGCCTACTAGTCTTCCCAAACAAGTTGGTCTTAAACTGCTGCAGAACTGCAGAGGTTCTAGGTATTGAAGAGTCACTATTGTATCTCTCTAGCTAAAGATTTAAGAATGTTTATGATCTCAACTACACAACTTCCAGAAAACAAATCTTTTTCTGGCTAAATATTTGTAAAACAACTGATCTCTTGCCAGAGCATAACTGTTTTACAAAGTTGGAGGTGGATCAAAGCAGCTGTTTATGAGTTAAGAGATTTGAAGAAATGACTGGTATTTCGCTGTTGGAAATGGGCTAACTTCATTTGCCACAAAGCTTAGCAACTGTCTGGTACAGGAGCCCCAGTCCTTTTGCCTTCATTAGGCCTTTATGAAATGAGAACTAATTTGGGAGTTAAAAGTTCTTATTCAAAATGTACATAATTTTTCCAGACTTGTCAATGTTTGGATTTTTTTAAAACTACAATCTTCATATACTTAGACTTTTGAATGCTTGGTTCTTTTCTCAGAAGTAGAGTTTCTGATTTTAGGTTTTAAAACCCCCCAATAAGTAGTAATAAAACATCTCTGATGCAATAAATAAAGTGGTGTTTTTCCAATAAACACCAAAAAAGTATCTTACATGCTTATTTTTGTCTAAGGGTTTGTCTACAAAGAACATTAATGCAGACTAGAGTATGATTTCTAACTTGCATGAATATGCTGTACATCATTTGGCCTGTGCAGACCTTTCCAGTGCACATTAAGGAGCATTTCAAACAGATTACAGTTGTATATAATATAAATGTATCTAATGTGCATTACTCATTACAGTATATACAAACAGAAAGCCTCAACCACCCCACCCCCGGTTTTGAGTAATGTATATAATATAGATGTATATAATGTGCATTACTTATTACAGTATATACAAACAGAAAGTCCCAACCGTCGTCCTCCCTCTCCTCCCACCCCCTGGTTTTTGAACATAAACATGAAAGTAAAAAATCGCTATAAACAAACACTAAAAAATAGAAATATTCCTCTCTCACCTACTCCCAAACAATAATGTTCCTATGTTTTAAATAAAGTTTTCTGTTTACAAATTTCCATAAATGCCAGGGTCATCTAGCTTAATGAAGTATTTTGTTTAGGAATATTTGGTAACATTAATTAATTTCAGCTTTAGACTTCAACCTGCAGGAGGATAGGAAACAATCAACTGTGATATGAGAATGACAAGTTACAAGATGACAGATGAGATCAGATCATGGGGGACCAAGAAAGGCTTGTAGAAGGTCCTACATGTAGTGGAGCTGGTGCATTGACAACGCATGGTGACAAGTAGGGAGGATGCAGAGAGTCAGAGCCCAGTCACCCTGAACCCTAGTGCTGGCAGAATGTGGAGTGAGGATTTGGAGACTGGGCAGGGATGAGGCCTCTGGAAACACAGGTTTGTCTACAAAGCACAGTAGAGTGGGGTGGAGGCATAGGTGCCAACTTCATGGATGTTCTGTACATGGAACACTCATGGGAAAAAACTGATGCCTGCTGAGAACTCACCATCAGCTCCCCCCAGCTCCCTCTCTGCCCCCCAACACCCTCCACTTGCTGATGGGCCTCAGAGATCTGCACCTCTCCCTCCTTTCCTCTCTGTGCCTCCCACACTCTGCAATCAGCTGTTTTGCAGTGTTCTGGAGATTGTGGGGGGGGAGGGGCGGAACTTGGCAGGAAGATGTGGGGCAGGGGTGGAACAAGGATAGGAAGAGATGGGTGGGTACTTTGGGGAAGCGGTGAAGTGGCCTGGAACAGAGCCAGGGGTTGAGCATGCTTCCCAGCATTTACAAAAGTTGGTGCTTACGGGTGGAGGGCAGCAATAGCAACAGAGTGGCTCTGCTGATACTCCACCACTGGACGGGACAATTCCATACCTACTTCCACCTCATACTCAGATCTTCTCATGTTATTTCAGGGAGCTGCCCAGCCCATTGACATAACATGCAGATTACAGAGACATAATTTGCCCTTTACTTGATAGATTGTTAGTGCTAGTGCCCCTTTATGTTCACTCTGCATCTTCTACAGCCTCCTCCCACACATGGTACAATTTCCCCAAGCACATCTGTTCTCATTTAATTCCCTTCCCTTTCTGCTAGACTGCTAACAGTTGATGTATATGTAAGTTCTCTGTTCTTGCAGAAGTGGTCACCAAGCCTGTCTTCAGATCCACCTACTGCCTCTGTTTACCTTCCACTCATCTCAATAAGAAAACTTCACACTGTATTTCCTCAGTAGCTCTCCCCTTTTTGTTGTCAGCTTGTTGACAAAAAAACCCAACACTTTTTAGATCTCTTTTCCAGGCTCAGTTTCTCCACTCCATTAAATTGGTTTCAGGATCTATAGAGCTCTCCCTTTCAGGTTCACAGTTCTTTGCAGCACTAATGCCAGCCAGGATACTGGGCAAGGGCAGACAGGATTAGTGTCAGGAGCTTGGGATTCCAGAACTGAAGCCAACAGTCAGGGCCAGAATATATCAGAGTTAAAAATAAGGGTGAGAGCTGGAGGCAGAATCAGGAATCAGGCCAAGGATCGATACCACACTCTGGGTGGATTGGGGGGAGGAGCATGTTAGGATTCCAAGGATCAGTCAGGAGCCAGCATCCATGTCAGAGTCAAGGTCAATACTGGGAATTCAGGAAAAGGGATGCAAGGCAGTTTCTGCTGCAGCTATAAGCTGGAGATCCAGTTGTTGCCTGAACACTACTTGGTAGTTTGTGTGGGTAAATACAGGACAAGGAGTCAATCAGGGATCACTAAGGCCACTGTCAGATCACTCAAGGCAGACATGGCAGTGGCATTGAACCTATGGGGATGTGGGTTATTAGGAATGGGCAGGTTACAGCTGCCATCGGGTGGCAGTGCACGGATGTTAATTACCTGGTAGCCCTGCAAGCCTGAGTTGAAATCCTGTCAGCCAGAGCTTCTCACCCTGAAGGCTCCTTCTCCCTGCATGTCCCTTAAATAAGGCTCATCTCTCAACAGGGTCCTTGTAAATTTCTCTCCCAGACCTTCTACCATGGAGTTCTAGAATATTCTCAGCTGCCTATGTCCAAGAAAGCACTGTCCCCAAACTCTTTAATTAAGCTCAGGCTGCCTTCTAATCAGATTTTTTTCAATCACAAAACCGATAGATTCATTTGCTTAACGTGGGGAGCCTGTAATAGTTCTCCTTCCATTAACCTCTTTATTTGTCAAAGCTTAGACTGTCAATTTCTCAGAGCAGGGGCAGGCCTGTCTCGCATATTTGAAAATCACCCAATAGAGTGGGAACTAGTATAACAATAATACACGAAGAAACATTTGCTTGAGATCAAGCAGGAGTAACTGTGACAAGACAACAGCCTAGAAAATTTCCATTTGGAGAGAGCTGAAGGAGAGAAATACCAATTTTTGGCTAGTTGTTACTAACCAGCATATTGGGTACCTTAGATTATGAAGTACCTTGTAAAGCTTCTGCACTAATATTAGGGTATTCAGCTAAGTTCCAACTCATTTAAAATGTGAGCAGTGCTAATTTTCAATTAAAAGCTATTATTATATTTTACAATTCATTCACAGAGGAGCTGGCTTGCTTAGGTTTACTAGCATGACTTATAATGTAACTATAAAAAGTTTAGAGTTAATTACATTTTTGATAATTAGTTAAATGGTCATGAAACAAAAAACAGGACTGTGTAGCACTTTAAAGACTAACAAGATGGTTTAATAGGTGATGAGCTTTCGTGGGCCAGACCATGCATTACCCCTTTGAATTAGGGTTATTTGGGAAGTCACACATCTTGGGAGAGAAAACTCTGTCAGGTTCTCCTGCTAGAGTTTTGCCTGAACTGTTTTGTCAAGAGAAAGGAGGAGAGGATTTGCCCTGTGGAATGAGCAGCATTTCTTCTCCCAAACCACAAAGATACTAAAATCTAATCCAGATCCAAATACCACCTCTCCCATCTTTAGTCACTGTAGCCAGAATACTTTCCAAAAAGTGCCATGGTGATTTATCCTGCAATTAACTTGATTAGCTCACGCTTGTCTCACAGACGTGTTCATAAAAACATAGCACAACTTGCAAGTTGACAAATTCTCTGTTTCATCTTAAAAGAAACCCAGGATAGGGAAATTAGGGGACAAATGTAGATTATAATTTTATGTGATGTCAGAAAGAATGCATTTCTTGTAGAGTAGTATAGATAACAGATTAGAGTACAGTGAACACATTATTCAACAGCCAGATGGTTAAAATAGAACATTGCATCATATTTGTCTGCTCTGGATGTGACTGTAGCCAGTGCTATTGATGTAGCATTTATGAATAAAGAGATTCATCATATGTTTTTAAAATTGAATTTCTTTACCTTAGAAAATGTGAGAGAGGATACTAATTGTAAGTCACTCTCATTTGCACTGGTGTAAATCAGGATTCAACCAAAAAAATTATACTGATGTCAATTAAATCAAAATTGGGCCCAAAAGGATTTCATTTACTGTGTAGAACAATAAAATATTATTTACTGAAGCCATTAAAAGGAGGAAATGAACACTTCTAACACTATGAGTAAGGATTCCTATCTCATTACCATGGTGAAATGCCAATGGCACTAATGAAGTTAGTTCCAATTTAAACTGGTGTGAGAACAGAAACGGGCCAAAAGTTACAAATTTTTTTCAAGCATCAGATTATTAGTCTTAAAGCAGTATTGTGCTATATTTTATTACACCAACAATTTCCTGTCCAGATAAAGAATTGGTTTTAGCTGATGCTTATTGGGTTGCATTCTACTAATTGAATAGATTTCCATTAGCTTCCCTTACAATTCAATTAGATAAAATCAGCAAATGCATCTGGTTTTCACTTACATTTGTTCCAGCCACCATGGGATTTCCAAGGTCACAAACCACCATTCTAGTTTCATTTTCCATCTTGTAGTCACAGCTCAATACACGTAGTGCCTGTAACAAAAGAACACCAATATGGAGCTCAGAGGTCAGAGCAAAGTGTATCCTGTTGAGAAAATGATGACTTTTTTTTAATTTCTTTTGATTTCAAATCCCTGTGTGCAGCTCTACATAGACTCTTAATTGGTGAGTATTGGCCAGTGAAGAAAGTCTGACACAAAAACAAACAAATGCAAAACTAGCCAGGACTTTGAGAGAAACCATTTCATTTCTTCCCAATTATCAGTCCTATACCCTATTGTCTAGCTTGCACTGTTCAGCATTCCCCATGGCATTTCTGAGAACTTTGAAGGTATGGTCTCATCTTCCTCTAGCAAAGGTATGTCTCTATTTCTCTACAGAAGTCATTGTAAAGTTTGTCTGGATGCTTCCCCCCCCCTTTCCCTGCAGTTCATGCCTCTCATCTCACCTATGTACAAAATATAAAACCCTATATTCAAAGTGCTAAGTGAAGAGGAAGCAGCAGTTATAAAATGTTGGAACTTAAGAAAGATAGACTAGAAACAAAACAAAGTATTTTCTGTTTTCCTCTTCGGCATCTTTATTAAAAGAAAGAAACTCAAAAGTAACAACAGAGGCCACTGATCTTCTAAAAATCAGGATGCATCTGAAATTGTTTGTGTAGGTCTCTCCCTCATAATTTTGTTTAATTTTAAAGTTCCTACAGGTATGCAAAAAAGAGCTGGGAGAACTTCAGGCAACAGTCTGCAAGTTCAACCTACGTCCTTCCTGGCTAGTGAAAGACAGTGTGGATTTACTGAACATGCTGTTAACTGAGAATGGCAAGGGCAGTGAATGTCCTAAATGAAGCAACTGTGAAACCATCTCTTGAGACTGACAATACTGGAGTTGGGCAAACATCCAACTTCCCTTCTTAGGAAGGAAAAAAAGAAAAGATGAGTTTTACTGCACATCCAGAAGGTTAAGAACCATTCCAGCCTCTTGTAATGACAAGTAATGGGTTCTAGAGGCAAGGGCTCTCCAGAGAGAATGTCCTGCCAACAACCTCTTCCCTCTTAAACCAAAGGCCACTATATTGTGCACCTTTGCACTTGTACTGGGACTGGCGTCTCTGACTCTTTGATGGTCACCTTAGGAACCATATTGTTGTGTGGAGAATGGAAGGGAGGAATGGATCCCTTGAACTTCTGGCAGTAGAAAATAGAGAAAGATAATGAGCAAAGCTAAATTTGTATCAAGATGTTTTGTCTCATCCTCGTTGGCTTTGCCTAGAGTTCCCTCTCAGAAGAACACAGTATCGGACACCCTGGCCTTCAGAATCATACAGATTAATGAATGTCACCAGTTAATACATTTTCAACCATCCACAATCTAATAAAGCACAAGTCCCCCAGATTTGAATGAATCATTCACAGTTGGTGTGAAGGGTGAGTGGCAAATCAGAATGAATTTAGGAATACTGAATGTGACTGGCTCAGGAAATAATGACTTTATATACAGGAGAGGGCTGTTAGGAGAACAACACAAAGTATTCAGTTAAAACATCTTCTTATAAACTGGTTAGGAAATTACAAAACAATAGCTGGCCGATTAGCCATGAAGATCCTCCTTTTCTTCAGCCCAAAAGTTACACACTAGTATTGACAAGTCTGGGAACAGACAGACAAAAAGAACTTAAAACATTTACAGTATCAAGAGCCCAGGAGAGGCAGTTGTCAATGAGATGTTCACAGAAGAATAGGCTGACTGAGAGACTCAGGGGCAGACCTTATGGACGGGGTGTGATGTATCAGGGCCTGCTTGGGGATGGTAAGCCTTAGAGAGCAAAGACATGCAGAGAGACAGTTACAATGTTAAATTCATTTTTCTCCCAT